CCCTTATGTATCCCCCCCTTATGTATCCCCCCCTTATGTATCCCCCCATATACTCCCCAGCAGGAGTTCCTACTGACTGACTTAAAAACATTAAAAGTGGATACTAGCTGATTTTTGATATTGTGCTTTGGATTATCATAGTTCTCGTAAACTTCAAACCTTACAGTTCAAGTAAACTGCTTTTTCAGAGCCCTTTAGAAGGGCAGTGACATGTCTTCAAAATGGTATAGTAGTTTATTCTAAGTATTTGGGACAAAAATAATTGTGAAAAAATACATTATGGACTTTAAACAGATTTCACATTTCAGGTGTCTTTATCCTTTTATTTGAACGTATAAACATCCCACAAAAGAAAAACAGGAAGGAAAAAACTTGACTCAGAAGACCCTGTCTGATAAACTAAGGAGCTGTTGTTTCTGTTACTCAGGTAACTGGGGCTTAGTAAACTGCCCACTGATTCTTTGATTGGAGCAAGATCCCATGTCCCTTGTTAAGAGAGAAATGATCTTTTGCAGAGAAAAGAAGGTGTCTAGGTTTTAATACTGAAACTTTGAAATAATTAGAGTTGAATATAAAAGCAGTGTAGGGAAGGTCATTTACAGAAACATTGCAAATCCCAGAACAGTTCTTTCAGGATACTTTAGTGACGACCTGAGCTTATGTAAGTAAAACAAAATACACTAGTTTATTTTGTTAAGCAGAGAAATTGACTTCAAAGTCCTCTGGGATTAACATGGTATTTGAAGAGTTATGTGTTCCCAAGCTTATTTTTACATGCTGAAATGTACCGAAACACTAATGTGTGTACCGAAACACTAATGTACCGAAAATAAAGAATCATGTTTTGCAATTTCTTTTTTTATTCTTGTAGAAAAAAAATTTTTGGGTGAAGAGCTTATCGTGCTTGCCCTTTCACATGTTTTGTTGAAAAAGTTGATGTATTTGTTTTGCATGTCAGGAGTTACAGGAAGATATCTAGACGTCCTTACAAAAATAAGGCAATTCCTAAAGGCTGCCATCTAGTGAATGGAATGCAAGTACATATTACCACATTTTGTTCACCTTTACTACAGGGAGTAAAATTATTTAACTGTCCCTCAAAGTTTAACTTTAGTCTTTGGCTGTTATGTAGTTGTCAAGTAGACTTGCTTGACTGTTTGAGAACATTGCCTTCTGGAGGCTTATCAGGACTGTTTCCTGCACATGACCAGAACACGTGCAGTGCTCATGAAGAAGTAGATGTGTATGTCAAAAACTGGAAGCTGTTTCTTTTCCCTAAAACAACTTTTTATGTACATTTGTTCATGTAAATATCATACATACAAACTATTTTTCATCTTTTTTATAGGACCATCTTACAGCATTGAGAGGCTATTAAGTTGTTAATGTACTATCGAGACAAAACTGTATAACTGAACAAAGTTAAACTTAATTAAACCAGTGTCTTGTGTTATTATAATTAGCAGACATGCAGAGTTTTGTGGAATAAAATATTTTCCTTATAGCAGGCAGAATCACAACTTTTAATTAGACACTATGTAGAGAGTGATGTATTTTGTAACTAACAGACTTTAGAACACTGCTGCAGGCAAACTAGTAGCTAAATTTGCGTAGTTTTGTGAACGGTTAAAATGTTTAAATAAATGCATTATAATGGATTTACTCATACCTCTGAAAGCTGAGTACTAATGGTTGATAGTTGCACTGATTTACTTAGGCTCATGTTTACAGTAAAGTGTTTTGTTTGAGAATATCTGTCTTCAATACTTGATCATAAATTTCATGTGTGCTTCTCATAAACTGTAACTAGGATTGTCTGGAGGCCCAGCTAGTCTTGCTTAGTAATTAATTTTTTGAAGGATAAACAGTCTTTTTTAGAGAGTTCTTTCTCACTTCTTTGAAAGGATGACGGTGTTCAGCTATGATGAATGCTCTGAAGCATAAAAAGCATATAGTAAATTCTATTTCTTTTTTGCAGAATCTGTTACATTGGTCTTTCTTTACTTTTAGGCATCAACCTTTGGCATCCTGGCAACATTGATTTACTGATAGGGACTTTGACAGGAATTGGAAACACCAGAGTGTTTGAATGAGATGGGTTGAGAAAGAGGACTAAGTTTCTCATGATTGCACATGAGCTCATAGTTCTTATGCCCTGGATATGACATTAGGAAACAACACAGGTCGATAAACTCATAGCTTCTGGAGAAGACTGTGTGAGGAAAATGATGAGCACCTTGCCCAAACTTTTCCAGAAAACTGACATCCAGCATTATCAGTTATTACTGCTAGCTGTATTAAAAGACTTACCAAGTATGTGCTGCAGCTCTAGTAGTAACAGGTTGTTTAATAATAATGCACAGATAATGTCCAAATTATCACTGGTGCATTGGAAGATCACAGAATCAGTTAGGCTGGGAAAGACCGTTGAGACTGAGTCCAGCCTATGACCGAACACCACCATGTCAACTAGACCCTGGCAATAAGTGCCACATCCACTCTTTCTTTAAATGCTTCCAAGGATGCTCCACTGCCCTGGGCAGCCTGTTCCAATATCTAATCACCCTTTCAGTAAAGAAATTCTTCCTAATGCCCAACCTAAATCTCCCCTGGCTCAGCTTAACCTTAAGACTGTGTTACATATCATAAGAAACTAGGTATATCTTCTAAACAAAAGATACCCTAGGAAATTACTTCAAGAATCTTGTGGTAAAGTACCTTTACTTTGCAAAGGGAGATACTCAAGAAGTTAGGGCTTTGATTTAGGTTCTTTGTGTGTTCCTGTGCTTCATCCTAGGAGTGCTGATCTATAAGACTTGACATGCTAGCATGTCGAACACAGAACTGAGATTTCATTAATGTACATAAATTATATTTTAAAAGGCAAGATTTAAACTACAAACTTATTCTGGGGCTTTTCTTTATTTTGGATTTATAGTTAGGATGGTGATGCTCAGTTTCTGCTAAGCTTGTTACTATTTGGTGAAAGGATTTGGTGTTTTTTGTTAAGATCCTAGGATAAAACATTTTTTAATAAGGATACATTTATTGCGGCATAGGTTTTTGGAGTCTTTTCAAGCTGTTAAGTTGCATATCAATGTCACTTTTTGAGAACTGCAAGACATAACACGTACATGCTTTGGAGTGCCATGCTATTTTTCAAGTATTCCATTGTGGATCTGTGCTTTGGTTTGCATGTTGGACCCCGGTCCAGTGGAGCCATGCAAGTTATAATTGGCCCTTTATGCAGTAGTGTCACCCGAGGGAGGCTTCATTTTCTTGGTTTCTTAATTGCCAGTAATTTCGAAAAAAACATTCAAACTTTCTATGTGGCTTGGAAACAGTAGGGCTAGTTTGACTGGTAGTAAGTTAGTATATTAGTTTTTAGGCTTTATTTTAAATGTTGTTTTTGTTTTTAAATCAGGAGCCAATGAAGTCGAGAGCACCACAGCTACATTTGGAATACAGATTCTACAAGCAGCTAGGATCTGGAGGTAAAAAGGAGTGTTACGCATTTTACTGTGATGTAATCCAGGCTCAATTTTTGACAGAAGTTTTTGGATTTAGGGTATAAATCTACTTTATAAAGTGTTCTTAGTTACTTAAAGCAGAAAGAAGCCCCATGAGTGAGTGGATTAATGTATAATTTTTTTCAAGTGTTGTAACACATTTTTGTTCTATTCTTTAATTTAAAATGTGTTTATGGAATCCTATTTAATGAGTCTTAGCTGTCACAGCATTTGTCTGCATATGGGTATACCTTAAACTGAGTAATCTGAGACTATTCCCAGTGCATTCTCTTTGAATAAACACTGCAGATCTCCAAACTGCTGATTACTAATCAGTATTTTTATTTAAAGTTGCTGTTACTTCAATAGCTTCAGACTCAAGTTAGCTTTACTTCACTTTTGTTGATACAGTATATATTGCTACTTGCTAGTTTTAAACCTCTTAAATACTTCTGTAAAAAGTTTAACTTTAAATGCAGTTTAATATTTGAATTTCTCATTTCGCTCCCCTTGGTGCTTTTATACCCAGAAGTACTCTTATGATGGTCGCCTGAATGATCCAATTGTCACCTTTTGCTTTTATAGGTGAGCAATACCTAAAACTTCTCACATATTTTTGTGCCTTTCACAAAACTGCATATAATCAGTTAGCAAGATGTGAAACTTCTTAAACTAGGAAAGTGAGTGCAGATATTCTCTAAATCAGTTATAACCTAGGAAAAAAACCTTATATCTTTTCCTTGAAAATGTTCCTTTAATTCCTAGAGTAGGTCATGTAGTTAGCTATTTTCCCATTTTTTACTAATATAGAAGTTTATAGTATAAATGGGCTACTAACTGGCTTTTTACATGCATGCTCAGGTGGTTTTTTTAGCAAAGGCAGCCTGGATTTTGTGACTGATTTTAGTTATGCTTAAACTGGTATAAAATGCTATTTAAGATTAAAAGTCATGTCTGAAAGGCAGGGAATACCACTTTCGTTTTGTTACCTTGAATGTGTGTGCATTATAATGACTTTTAATACTTTTTAAATACCACTTTCACTTTTTTACTTAAAATTCAGGGTCATATGTTCATTGCTGCAATGGCCTGGATAGTGTTTATCTAATTTAGTAGCTTTCAACATTTTTTTATGTTCTTTAAAGGCTTTCTCTGGTGAAACCTACCTTCTAATATGTTCAATTGATATAGAAATTTTTTTTTTATGCTGTAAGGATGAATGCTTTGCAACCAGGAATCTTTAGAGACAGCTCTTTGCAAGACATGACATGGTCTATTCCTCTTCATAGATGGAAGATAAAATTGCAGATACCTAGTAAAAATGTTGAGTCATAAATGCTTGCTAATTGGAGAATGTCATCAGAATATGATGTCTGGGTGTTCTTTTGTTAGTAGTTATAAATTGTCAGCATACTTTAGATAGACTAGTATTCTGAAATAAGTGCAAAGCTGAGATCTTAAGTACTTAACTAATGGGTAATGACAACCCACAAGTTAGGGGCTGTACCGAGCTGTGAAAACCAAGGTGTAACTGTCTAAAATTGGAAAGGAACTGTGTGTATTGGAGGTAAGAATAAAGCCATAATTTCTAGTTCAGACTTCAGAAATTAGGCAATGCTTCTCGGAGGTAGGAAACCTAATGGGAATATTTCTTGGGTAAAAAATGTCTTAGTGAATGTAACTTTGTATATATTTTTGTTTACTGAATAAAGTAAGATAAAGATAAAGCTGGTCACTTACTGAGCTTCATCAATATTTATGAAGAACCTTGTCTTAGACCTCCTCTGTTTTTGCAGTAACCTGCTTTTATTCAAAAGTGAAAGCCTGCCCCAGCACGTACAGAACCCTGAAAGCTCCTTTCTGAGCCTTTCTCAGGTACACACTTGAGGCTTGTGGTAAAGGCTCACTGAGAAGAAATATTCTTTTTCCTATCTTCTACTTAGAAGTTGAAAAAGTTGCTGATTCCTTACCTTTCTGCAGCAGTCTCTTTCTCCGTCTTTGCAGGAGTTGGGTCCTCAAGCCCAGGAAGTTACACAGTCTAAGGTTCTTCAAGAAAAAAAGTTGCAGTATTATGTATTTTCTGTTCTCATGTAATCTGTGGCAGTTGGTTTACTGATTTTTCATAAGATGCTTGTTTACTATCAAGCATAGATTTAAGAAATTTTGTCACATGAACAGTTGGAAAACATAGTGTTGGAAAATTGGTGGACCAAGTGATAAATTCAAGAAGCAGCTAATCCTTCCTAGAACAAGAGATATTAAAAAATCTTATGCTAGATCTATCCATGAGGACAGTGTTGCCTTACGGGCAGTGCTGTACTTTTGTCAGAGCAAGAGTAGATTAAAGGAAGTGATCTTCAGTGTGCAAGTCACAGAAGAGTCTATCATAGGAGGTATAAAAGTAGTTGTTACTACTGGAAGAAATTTCAAGTATAGTAATTGTGAGCAGATGGGAAGTTTCTCTGGTACATAATTACCACACTAGCAGTCACAATTGTCTGAAGCCTTCTGGCTTTTAAGTCCCTAAAAATCAACATTTGCAGGCTTTCTTAATTACAGTTTTTGTTTATTCGGACAACCTTTTTGTAGTTTGGTTGATAGCTTTATAACTGTGTGGACTGGGTATTTTGCATTTAATTGTACAAAACTGTGCTTCCCCTTCTCATATTTACATGTATTCATGTATATTAATAGCAAGTGACTACTATAGTTTCAGAAGCAACTGGAGAAAAGGGAGTAGTACTCCCTTTCTTTCCCACTCTTGTAAGCAGAGTCATTATTTTCTGAATTCTCAGTTTATGCTGCAAACTGACTTTTGCTTAGTGTGAAATAACCTGATGCTTAAGGGATAAAATTCCTGTAGCCCCTGTGAAATCCCACCGTGTTTGGAGATGGCATGGGGAGGAGGGAGTGGCATTAACATGGCAATGAATAGTTCTGGAAGAAAATGAGGTTATTTTCCTGCAATATCTCCCTGAAAGCAAATAATGAAACTGTTATTAGGATTACAGATTATTTTACCTTCCAACCCTTTTCAATAGAACTCCTTTGTGCTTCCTCTGATCTTGTGGACCTCCTTGAAGAGGAGGAAAAAGTAGCATTTTGAAATTGTATGTTTTCTTAGTATTCCCTTGTCTCAAGCCAGTATTTGTCTACTGCAAATCTCTTTATTTATTCTTATAATATCCCTTTTTCTTTCTTTTCTAGTGACCTTGTGACTTAGATTTTTTTTTTAATATGCTTTATTAATTTCTGTGGAAAGAATCTTGCTATTCTCTGTCTTGAATGCCATGAAGATGGAAGACATGCTTGAGTGGAAAAAAATTTGGAGGGGTCTTTTATAGTTCTGCTCCCTGAGAGAATAAGGGAAAAAATAGACATGAAATAGGATAGATATGCAGTTTTTATATACAGGACTTTTAAACTGTATTAATTCTTTAATAAAAAGTGCTCTTGACTTGCATGGATAATTATTAACATTTCAGTGTATTCCTTTGGAGAGAATCTGCTCGTAAAGAAGGTTTACCTTTACTCTTAAATATATTTTTTATTGATTATACATCCTAAGGAGTTATACCTCCTAAGTCTTTCTGCTGTGCCTTTTGCAATCAGATATGTCTATCTCGCGTTGGCCTCATTAGCCACCAGCGCGCTTCTAACAAATGTGGATAGAGCCTTTCCCAAATCTTCGTTCGTGAAGCCCAACCATGAGTGATGAACTTTTTATTGATGTGCCTATGAATGTGCAGTATCATGTAGGTGTTTGTCAGGAAAAAGAAAAGTGAAGAATCTTTCCTAAACAGGAAACATTTTATGTACTTTTGGGTTTTTTTTGAAACATTATTAATTATTCACGCAAATAGACCTAAAACTTATTAAAAATAGTTCTTAAATTAGTCTGAAGATGTGGCTCATCTTAGTCTCGTCATTATTTAGCTTTCCTTTAGCTTTTTTCTTTTCTGACATAATGTTGTCATTCAGTAGCTATGAGCATGTTTTCCTCCTGAAGTTTGAGATCATACAGTCAGTATGTAGCAACTTCTAGCCAACTGAATGAGCGGCATACTGATGGAATTTAAAATGTCTTCTAACAAAATTTGTTAAATATGTATTTTTTTGAATATTCAAGTATGAATTGTAAGAAAAACTGATATGTTACCAAAAGCACAGTACTACAAGTAAAACTATTGCTGAATTCTTACCTGAAATTGCACTGGGACTTTTGGAATTAATAGAAAGCAGTTTTGTATTTCTTACTGATTTCTGAATTCATCTTTTATACTATCTTTCTTTGTACAATTAGAAGATGAACTGTAGGTGTATTTCATGTAGTATACCCATAATTTAACTGTACTTAAATTCAATTTCCTAGGAGGAGCTGGGTTAAACAGTAACTGCTACCTCAATTTGACTACAGCAAAAAATACTAAGTAAAACTGAGGTTTTTAATGTGGGATTTTTTTTTCAGTTAAAAAAACCCTTATTGGTGAAAACTTAAAATGCTTTTATTCTTTAACAGCTAGGCATTTACAGTATGGTACAGTTCCCTTTTGCAGAAAGCAGTTAGTAAATTAAAGAAATCAGGTGTTATGTGTTGAAGAGTGTAAAAACTATTCGACTTTTTGTTGTCTAATTTTTCTAGCGTGTCTTAATGAAGGAGTAGTTATCATAATGGCTGCAAGTCTTTCCAAGTGAATGAAGACTCTTTTGTACTTACTCATCTGATAAGTGGAACAAAGGAATGGCAGGAGCTTCTGCTTCTTAAGGTATCTTAGTAGAACTCCTGTCCCTGTGGTGCTGTTAAAACAGACTTACTATAGTACCTGTCTAGAGCAACGAGGGATATCCACTGTTAGATTTTATTCTTTCATTTGAGGCCATTTTTAAAAGAGACAAAGATCTGTTCAGCTGTTGATTATCCTACTGGTCAAACTGCTGTATTAATATTTCAGAGAAGGCAGATGCTCAGTATTGTAAATCGTATT